TCATTGTATTAGCAGCCAATGGAGTAAGCCCAGTCAACAATAATGAATGCTAATAGCTTATCTTAAATCAGTGATGCACATTCTTTTACGACAGGAGTAAATTTTTTTATGTATAAAGGACCAAACATAATAGTTTTTGGTCGTCGGGAATGAAAAAAATCAGTTATTACAAAATTAGTATATAAAAATTAGTTATTAATTAGTAAATTAGTTATAATTAGTTATCATTTTATTTTACAACCTTTATTATTTTATTTTACAACCTTTATCATTCGTTTCACATTTTACTATAATTTATTGTCTTGATATTTTTTGATGATATTTTGGCAAAATAGAATATTTAAACACAAACCTCTTAAATCTTTTTATAATGATTTTGATAATGATTTTGCTTGGAGTTTACTACACCATCCATCTAAAAATGCAACCAATTCTTTTCATTATAAACTTAGAGAATTCTGCTTTAATTTCTGACGTGTTAAGCGAAAATAGACGTTTGACTGAGTGGCTCATGAAGTTATTCGATCATAAAATCAACCTTTTCTATGTTATTGTTAGAAAGATCTGGTTACTATTTTTTGACGAATGGTATTCTTCTTCTTCTAATAGCTCTCACCACGACTGGTTAGGCTGGCTCTGCTGGCTACAAGGGTGAAGATTTCCAAGCTGTGCAATCTGGTGCCACAGCTGATAGCAATAGAAGCCATTCGTTTTCTGTGCCGGCACCCCCCCCCCTATCTTATAATCTATTATTTATTATCTGATTGCTATTACATAATATTCTACGAATCGGATAAGTTTTTTTTCTTAAAATTTTTTTTCATTTTTTTAAAAATTGTCTTTATATTTCTTTTTAAAATTTTCTTTATTCTTTATCTTTTATCTTATTTTCTTTATTTTCAGTCTTTGAACAGGAGTAAACCTGTTATGATGTCAAAACTCCAGGTCCTGAGCACCCACCTATATCTCTGTCCCCAAGTGACTCTTTAGTGAAAGGGTTAATAATAATAATAAAATAATAATTAATAATAATAATAAATCCAAGGCACAAGCATAGAATTTGCTCGCGAACTTAGATAAGTATATATTCAAAACCTATTAAGGAAGGCAAGAACCTATTGCAAGCCAAGTGATCACTGTCCACACCCTCTCTACATGCTGCGTGGATGTGGCTTGTTTGTTGGAGGTTAGTCTTCCTCATGTCGGCTCTCAAGTTATTATTAAACCTGGTTCCCAGCAAAGATATTGACTATATTATTGTGGTGTCTCAGACAGAGTGAAATGGTGCAGCGATTGTCATGATTGTCTGAGAAGGCTCGATCCGCTCTGATTGAATGGAAGTCAGCAAATGACCCACGCGCGTTTCAAGAGGAAATTCTGCAATATTTTAATCACCAGTGCATATGCTCCAACTTTATGGCAGATAACCGCGATAAGGATAAGTTCTATGCGGAGTTTCAACTATTAACAACATCTTTACCGAAAGGTGACATGGTCATAATCGGGGGATACTGGAATGCGTGTCGGAGTCCAATGCGCCAATAGTGCACATTTTCTTTGTTTTGCCAAACAGCATGAACTCTTTGTTACTAATACATGCTTTCGGCATCGGAGAAAACTTCTAATCACGTTGAAATTTCCGGATAACCAATATTCCAATCAGATTGACTATATATTGGTCAGTCACGGTTGTAACTAATAGTCGTTTTTATCTGAGCGCTGAAACTGCTAACCGCTATGGATCAAATGCTATGGTTCGAACCAAGATTCGTATAAAACTGACAAGTCGTAAGAAACAATGCATCCCAAGATCTTTCAGCTATCTCAAATTAAAAGATCCAGGAAAATAAGCGTATTTCAAGTATTTCAAGTATTATTAAAACATCTGAGCGAAATGAACGTCAATGATATCTCTGGAAAGGCGAATTCAGCCGCTTCCACACTAGGGTATACTAGTAGGAAGTGCGCTGGTTGGGTGTCGGAAGCAACTGTCCAACTGTCTGAAAAAGCTGCTAAAGCCCAAATGTCTGACTACCGGGTGCTTCGAAGAATTATAACGACAGCAGCACGGCGGGACAAAAATCGTTATTGGAATGACATGGACTTGAGAATGGAGATGACGGCTCAATTAGGCGATAATAGGAAACTATTCCACCTTCTTCAAAAAGCAACTATAACTCGAGGAGTTGTCGGTGAAATGATACGAGATTAATGGGGCGCTTACTAAAGCAATTAAGGATGGCCTCGGAAAATGGAAAGGATTTTTTGATGTCAAACTTAACCGCGATGCGCCATCTGTTGTCCCGAATATAACTGAAGAAGATGAAATAATCTCTGTAATCCATTAGAGTAAGGCCAATAAAACTCCCGGAGAAACTGGTCTTTGGGCCGAACTCTTCAAATCTTGTCCATCGTCCTTCATAATGCACTTTCAACAAACGTACTCTCTAGCATGGGAAAAAGAAATGTTGCCAGATGATTGAAGCAAAGCAATTCCACTTCCAATTCTTGAGAAAGATGACAGGACGTACTGCGACAATTATCGAGAAATCAGCCTACTAGACACTTCCGCAAAAATTTTCGCTTTCCTCCTGCCAAATAAACCTAAATAGCAGCATAAGATAGCAGAATGAATCCTAACCAAGCTGGATTGAGACCTAAACGCGGTTGTGCTGACCAGAAATTTAAAAGGGGTACTGAAACATCATTTCGAATGCCAGCAATCCACCGTCACCTACTTTAACTTTGCAGCTGTCTTCGATTCGCTGGTTAAAGTAGCGCTCTGGAAAGTAATGAAATGTGACGGTGTCCCAGAGAAGATCATTCGTTATATGAAAGCATTTTACCCTGGAACAGATCTGGGAACACTCCTTCGAAACAAGAACTGGTGTCCGTCAGCGCTGCGTTCTTTTCTTTATAATATTCAACTATGCGATAGAACGAATAGTGGCATCGCTTGTCGGCACTCAAGAGGTGGGCAAATCAGTCAAAAGCATAGCATCACAAAATATAATGTAATCCTTAATGCTGATAATGTAATCCTTTTTGCTGACAGTTAATGCAAACAATGTGCAAGAACAACAAAGAACATCAACAACTGCAACTACAACAACTACTACTACAAAAACAAAGAACTGCAACTGGAATTGGACTCAGAATCAATGAAAATTCGCGTCCATATAGCTGTAATTCGCTCGATCTTGCTATAAGGCCGCGAAACATGCTCAATGAGAGTGGAAGATATCATCCTTTGTCTAAGATACATTTTACGGATCCGTCGAACGGATAAAATCGCACATGATTGTATCCATTTTCGCTCAAATATCACCTCAAATATTAATAATGTTGTCACAGAGCGTCATCTTAGCTAGTAAGGGCACATTCTCCGTTGTCCATTACAAAAATTGACATATATTTCACTAAACCTTGTGATGGTTAGCGTCAAAAGAGAGGAGGGACAATCATGCCTCGGACTGGTACAGTCAGAAAAGATTTTGAACATATAGGGGGACCAGCGATATATGGACTTGGACGATGGAAAAAGCGGAATGGCTTCTATTACTATTAGCGATGGCTTCGGACCGAGCAGCTTGGCGGCATCTTATTCTTATAGCCAACGAAGCCAGCCTAATCAGTAATGTTGAGAGCTGTTAGAAGAAGAAGGGTTCTCTAAGAAGGGTTCAAAATCTTTCCTGTATCAGTCAGTCCAGGTCTTGATTGGCCCACCTCGATTTTAACATCACCCATCATAGAGTTTAGCAACGAAGTATGTATGAACTCTTGTGGTGGATAGCGAATAATATGAATGCGGCATTCTGTGATGATACTGTTAATGCAAGTGGTATTTGAACGAAGGTGGATGCGATCATTTGAGACTTTATCCACTCGATGAACCCGTAAAATGTACGCAAGAGTGGTCAAAGGCAGATAGCTTCTTAATATCCTTCACTCTCATTACCATGTCTCGCAGCTATATAACAAAACCGAGCAAATTTCAATTATATAGATGCAGTTTTTCGTTCCTGTGTTGACTTCGCGACAATTCCATAAAGGTTTTGTCAACCAGAAGAATGCATTTCTTAGCTACCATTATGATGAACAATATAGTAAACTTCAATCAAAATAAAAAGATTTAAATGTTTTATGGCCAAATTGAATTAAAAGTTAGCCAAGTATTACCAAAAAAATAACAAAAATAAAGTGTAATATAAAATGGATGATAATAATAAAAAATAGCTCCGAAAAAAAATTGGTTAAAAATGTTTTATCACAAATTCTCTAAATAACTCTCAAAATAATAGAATTTGACGCAATTTCATGAGTGAACTCTCCTTCTTCTTCTAATAGCTCTTACCATTACTGGTTAGGCTGGCTCCAGCTGCTACAAAGGTAAGATGCTTCCAAGCGGCGGGGTCTGATGCCATGGTCGACGGTAATAGAAGCCATTTCTTTTTGCACTGTCTTAATACATTCAAAATCTTTTTTGGCCGTATTAATCCAGGTCCAGGACCATATTATGAGTGAGTTCAGTGAATATAAAACCAGCTATGTTCAATGGTCACTGAATAGATTTCAGACAACTTTTGTCAAACATATCAGATAGCTATTTAAGAGTAAATCAGTGAGAAGATGGGCTGTTTGAATTGTTATATCTAATTCTATACGCAAAATTGCGCCAAGATTCTCATTTAGCGGATGATTTCTGTGGACAGATCTGTTTAATTTATTTTATTAATTTTATTAATTTCATCAGGAAAGAAACTTGTACACAATATAAGCACTTAGATTTTAGCTGCGATTTTTCTAACATTTCAATTTTGGAAAAGATCTTTTCTGAAGGCATTTATAGAGGTTTAATAAATTTCCTTTGAATTTGGTCTCTAGTTCTTGTTCAATCAGTTCGAGTTATAATGCAACTTCTCCATATAGCACTTTTTTTAACAAGAGTTTTCACCATTACTGGTTAAACTCGCTCCGCTGGCTTGTCGCATTAGACAAATATGCCAGGCAGTCCCTTGGCGATAGAAGTACAGGTGAGTCGCCAGCATTACCCCTCTCCATATGGTATATCAAAAGGATTCACAAAAGTCTTAAAAAATTTTTTCCAATTTCGAAATTTTTTCTTCAAACAATAATTTGGTGATATAACTGGCAAAACAAGGAAGGAAATCTCAGTCATTTTGAAATTCAATGTGTTCATATGAATAGGAATATCAATGAGAAACGCCATTCATTTCATGACCATTTTGCACCTTCAAAATGGCATTTGGATTGATTAAAATTTTATGTCTTCAAGCACAGCAACACTTTGACCGGCTTAGTCGCCAATCTTCTCACAAGTAGATATCGTATTGTATTGTGCTCCATTTTCCTCCAGAGACGCCTTAAAGTGGCGGTGGTTAAAGCGCCAGTTATCATTCTATGTATATTTTAGATTGTAATTTTAGGTCCATCATATTCTTAGTGTAATGGGAGGCATGGTGCTGGAAACGAATATGAATGAAATCCTTTTAAGGCTTCAGAAACAAGAAATACTGGAAAAGCAGGAGGTATTTGTATAGATTTTTTCTTGCATTGAAATTAATGAATTCAATGTTATTAGGTGCAAATAAATTTTGAATCATTGGCTTCTGATTATCTTTGGACTCATTTCGATCCCTTCGCTTGAATTTCTTCAAACAAATTTTTCAAACTTTTACATCTTCAAATAAAGCTAAAAAATGTAAACTTAAATGTTGAATTTCAGACAAGTTTGTAATATCTGCAGAGGTAAAATAGCTTTATACGTGATTTGGTATAAATCGTATGCCAACTTCATCCAGAGGCGCCTTAAAGTGGCGCTGGTAAAACGCATGTGATTGCACAAAAGACACTGCAGCTGCAACGACTACAACATCTACAACACTATCGAATCCCATTTAAATTGTGCTGATGTATTTCTTTATCTCCGTTTGGATTCCTAGTACCATATGTTTGGAAAGAAAAGATACACTCCATTTTCTTGACCAATCGTTGCAGGTGCATTACGCCGGTAAATTTTGTGAGTTCCGATTCATAATTACCCAAATTGCAATAAAATTGGAGCTTATTGTTTGTTTATGCAGTTATGCAGTTAACGATTCTAAAAGTTCCTTCAGAGTTTGATTACGATACCGCGAAGAACTATGCAGTGGATGTTACATCTGTTGATTCATTAGCGACAAAGGAACAAATTCGTTGGAGAGTTCAGGGGATTTAATTTATGATTTGACACATATACAATTCGAGTTTGAGATATTACCTTACGACCTCAAACTTCGTCACAAAATCGATTTTGCACCAAAATCGATGAATAAACATTAAACAATAAACATTAACAAAACTACCATCCGTAAAAGGCATATCATTGATGATGTTGCAGCTAATCGAAATATCTGAAACTCAGATTTTTAGCATTGCATTCATTTGGTTCGATGCCTTTGGGACGGACATGGTGATTAGTATTCACAAAGCTTAAGTCTGTCTAAAGCCTGTCTAAAGTATTTAAGTTAGGCTAATCCACACTTTTGTTCATACTCTTTTCTACATCATCGTCTAGCATTTTTCGCATATAGCTGCTAAAAGATATTTGAGTTATAATGGACGATGTTTTCTTCCTTTTGATCAGGAATTCTTTATATGTTATGGAAAAAATCATTTCCTTAGTAACAGTGTTTGCAATTTGACATTTCATATATTTTAGTGTTTGTTTTTATAAAGTTCATAAGATCTTATTATAAACATTATTTCATTCCTTCAGATTCAACCGGAAGCAAAAAAAAGGCAGATTTTGAACCATTTTCATTAAGTCAATGAACATAAAAATGGATCCAATTAGTTTTATAAAATAGGCTTAAATACTGTATAAAAGTGAAAAAAATGGAGCAGCATACGATATTTATCGTTGTTCCTGTGATATTAAGAATAAAACTCTCAATTCTTCTGTTGCTTTCAGCCTTTAATAGTATCCAGCAAATTAAAATAATTGTTCTGATTGTTCCGAATGATCACGTATAATGAGGCATGATTAGATTAAATCTTCAAATATTAGTTTGATATCAGTTTTGAACTTAATAATTATTACAAAGCAATGTCATAAAATAAATTGCTCTCGACAAAGGTTCGCAGTGTTCACAGGCAATACCTTTCTAGCAAGACGAAAGTCAAATTTTTTTCACTTCTTTTTACAAGTGCAAAGTGTTAAAAACAACTTTTTTCAACAAATTTTTAACAAATTTTTTGGACGTTTACATGGATTTGAATGCCAATTAAAAATTATATGATGCGAAGAATATGTCACTTTTATATTTTACAGCCTTATTTCGTTAAAGATTCTGTATTATTTTATTTTATTTACACAGATCTTTTTTAAACAAACATCAATCACTGGCATAATTTAAGCCAAATTTACAGAAGAAAGAAAATTTATTTTGATGCAGTTTCTTTAATTTCTCAATTAATAGAAAATTAATAAAAATGATCAAATCCACGTATATGACAACATTTTGTGCAGGATAGTATACTGATTTTGTCCGTTTATGCGGAAGTAAATCTGTCATCAAAATGAAATCATGATGGTGCTGTAAATCCATCTGTATTTCTATCCTCAAGTGGCTATCTGACGAAACTCATATTAATAGTTTGTTTGGGCAGGCAAACAAGGAAAGAGAAACAAATGCTTTTAGAAGAAATTTACCACTTTCTGCATTCTATGTGTTTATTAAAGATCACGTTTTGTTTATTTAAATTTTTCATGAATCTTTTCAGAAACTGTTATCTTTGGATAAATTAAGCTAGGAAATTTCTCAGTGTCTCTTTTCCCTCTTCAGGTTTTCATAGCCCTTTTTATTTCTTGAAAATTTATAAATTTCTTAAAAATTTATCGTAATTTTAGAAACAATGGAAAGACTCAATTTTCTTTCCTTATCTGTCGTTTTCACATGAACTGTGTGAAAATTTGATATCTGATTTGATTTCGCTTAGTGGAAAGTGATTTGTCGTACTTGTCGTTGCTGATAATGATAATATGATAAGCTATGCCAGTTTAAAAAATTGTCCCTTTAAATTGAATATATTTCTATCTAACTGATGTTAATCTCTACATAAAAGAAAAATTTATTCATTATATGTTAAAGTAATTTTAAATTCATTAGCTTTTCTAAAACTTGAACCATTCCTCTGATATGCAAATTTTATAACAGGCTGATGCAAGATTGAAGAAAAAAAGATTTTCCTTCTTTCAGCCACTTTCCATTTCATTGATTGGTGCAACCCTTTCGCTATAATCATGCGGGAATAAAGGGCGCATCATCTGATTCATTATTATTGACTGGTTCGCGCCCATCACGGAAATCCATGAAGGAAAAAACCAAAAGACCAAAAAATGTGATTCTGTGAATTAATCATTGATGAATTTAAGTAATCTCTTGGCTGGATGAAGTCTTAAATTCAGTCAGATTTTCAAAGGGAGGAAATGAATTTATTTCATTAGGTTAGATGAAATCGTTTAATATAAGAAAATTTCGAGAATGAATATCGTCAACAAAGAAGCTTTGAAAAAGATGCAAAAAAATTTTTAATATGAACTATAAGATACCAGAATATTATTTTAATAGAAAATATTCTAGCAGAAATGAATGAAAATTTGGGCTGAAAAGCCGCTTGCAGTTAGATTTCTTTCGAAATGATCTTTCAGTGGCTAAAGAATGGAATCAAGGATTAAAATTTTTTGGTATTCAATAGATAGGAAGTCTTTGATAGAAATTTCACTGCATAATAGAGGAACGACATTCTGCTTGTTCTGCTTCTAACAGCACTTCATATACCATTTCTAGTTTAACTGATTTCATTGATCCACAGCATCCTTCGCTTGAGAGTCACTTGCTAATAGAAGTACATGCACGTCCTATAGAAACGCCATTTCACTTTTAATGAATAATTTCCAGCCAATTAACAAAAACAGAAACCATGATGCCTGTAGCCGAAGCAACATCTGTCATCCTATGAGCATTACTTATTTAGAGATTTTAATTCAGAATTTTAATTCAGAAAGAATTTGTAATGTTCGTCCGTATTTCCATCGAGAACTGGTATAATTATAAATAATTCATTATTTTTCTGGCAATCCACCTATTTCATATCTTTCAATAATTTTCGACCATTCAATAATGGTAAGAAATTAACTTTTAGAATATGGACTACTCATAAACTCCTGAAATAATTAAAATTATTTCTATTAAAAAATTTTCATCCTTCTAATCACTTATATACCAGTGAATACATAAAGAATTGAACGGAGGATTTCGTTTAGAAAATCTATATCTAAACCTAAATCTAAGTGAAAGCATGTTTGTCGGTCAAATTTGCTTATAGAATTATTATTAGTTATTTTATCAGCCACGAAAGACAGAGGAACTTTTGGTTATATACAACCATTTATAAGCAATTATTAAGATACGACCTTATTAGCAATTACTATTATTTTATTTTTGATACCTGAAAAAAAAAAAAAATTTGATCTAAGTGGTTTTTTATTATAAACTGAGAAGTAAAAAATAAATAAGTGCTCGCCATTTTCGCTTAGAGAATCAATCTCGCTTAGCGATATAAATGCGAGTGAATCCCTAACATAACCAGATTTTTTAATGGCGAGTTCATCCCTATCGCAAGCAGGTCCGAGCATTGATTCTTAAATTGAACAATGTGGGCGATAATCTGGCTATTTTGCTTCCAATAGACTATCAATTATACAAATGCCTCTTGAAATGCCAATTAAAAAAAATTTCTTTGAAAGTATAATTATTAAAGTTTCATTAATATCCTATTCGGTTAAATTGGAATCTTTTTGTTGAAATTTTTTCAAACTTTTCTTGTCTGGTAGACCATAAATAGCTTTCTTCTCATTACTTCCAAATTCCATTTCAGAAATTAGTAATTTAATTTGATTAGCAATTAATCTAAGGAATTTCCATAGAATTAATTGCATTGTCCTAGCGTTCTTCTTTTAGAAATGAGCCTATTCCTATTTGTGCTTTTGAATTTTTTTCGCACAACATCTATGTTTGTACCATATTTATTTCTACCACAACTAATTTGATCCTTTTCGGAATAGCCACCACTTAAATTTAATACACCTCATAAAAAGCGATTTGACATTAACCACTTTAGCAAAATTCGAGGCTTAATTATTTTAAATCCGTAATAGAAGGCTAAGGGTTTAGAAAATTCGGCCGTTGTTTTCTGAGATACTATTAGAGAAATTTATACCGTATTTTCCATTTATTTTCTTGGAACGCAGTATTTTCAGGAATATTGCCCTATGAACTTGTAGTCACAATGATGTGCTATGGAACCTCTTTTTTTCGAAATATTTCCTTGATTTTTATTGCTTGAATCAGTTTTATTTCTTAAAATAGTTGTTCTAATACTTTTGATTTTTACATTGTTTATTGTAACTTTCCTAATTTTAAAAATGTTTATCGTAGCTTTTCTTAATTTATATATTCTCTAAAGTTTGGACCGACGATTCCATTAATTATGCAATAGAAGCAATAGCTGAAAGCAATATGCATGATTTTAAATATATAAAATTCACTCTCACTTGTAAATAATCCTTTTAAATAAATTCTTAAGCATGTATTATTATTTCATATATTTTAAAGAATTCATGAAAATCTTCCTTAAAATTTTTTAATATAAAGCCTTTTTTTAGCAGAAAAACATCAATTTAATTAGAAGCTAGTTAAATGAAGAATAAAATAACTAAATTGTGTTTATGACACCTGAGCCATAATCATTTCGTTCATTATCTTTACTAACATCGATGAATTGATTAAATACGCACAATTTCTGAATTATTCCCAATAAAAGCGGTGCCAGTTTCGCTTCTGAAAATATTATTAAATAGAAGAGACTTGAAAAAGCGAGGTATATATTTTGCTAATATAATTATATCATGCCAGACACAGCAAATTGCGATTAACAAGCCAAAGGAAGATCTTTATGGATTAAACTAAATTATACAGTAATAATAATCTGTTATACTCAAGCGAGTGTAAAAATTTTCATGAAATGGCCATTTTTCAAAGAGTAAAATTTTTAAAATATCTTTTATTTTTAATAAAATTTTATAAAATTTTTTAAAATTTTATTTGATGAATCCCAGTCTAGCAAAACACAGATAAGGCAAAGTTAAATTTTATTTTGAATTCCATTTCGATTGTTAGCGAAATCGTATAAGATTCTATTATCGTTATTCGTGCCAACATATAAAGCGATGTTGGTTAATTTTGAAATAAAACTAACAAGCCATCATATGTTCAATTCTTAATCCTTAATAATAGCAAGCCTATCATTAAGAATGCGGGCGATGTTGAGGATTTGTCTGTACTTTATCTTTAAGTGATTCTGCTGAGGATAATCTTCATAGATCACATAGAATATTTTTTGCTGAAGGCTGTTTTCATTTTAAAGAAACTG